AACAAAAACTGATAATAATTTTATCTAGTAGCCTACCTCAGGGGCTCTCAAACTGATGAGCCCCCCGGCAGCCTTTGCAACACCTAGAAAACTCACTTAGTGCATTCAAACATGGAGGAGTTTGCAGCCGGACTTAACATGGGCGATATTGGTTAATGTATAAAAATCAATTTTATGATTTTATGTATTTAAAATCGTTTCTCCCTCAAGCACTACTAAGAAAAAGAACACACATTATGAACTAAATCCCTAAATCCCCCTTATTCTGTTTCTGTTTAGTTCTGTTCTGTTGTCGGTTGTCAGGGTGACTGTGAGTTGTTGTGTTCTCTGCCGTCAGCTGACCAAGCAGCTGTTGACTGTTTTACCCTCAGGGAATCATGACTAACTGACCGATCGCACTACAAACATTTCTGGTTTTGCATTAGTAACAACCGTTCAATAAGCCTCTCCCCATTGTCTCACCCCAACTTCTCATCCCCAGAGGGCTCCATCAATGCCAGGACTGACAGATGCTAAATGTGTGAGAGCAACATCTGTCAGTTTGCTGTCTTGTGGTGCCAAAGTGTCCCAACAAATAAAAGAAACTGAGATCTAAGGACTGTTTTCTAGACCTTCCAAGAGCTTTTTCTCACAGACGCACATAACCCACATTACTCTGGACCCTTTCTGAAGTTAAGTAGTTGAGTTCTTTTCTTGCACAGGAAGCCACAGACAGAGAAGATGTTGTCAAAGTTTGGTTATCGTCGCAATGCATTTGTTATGTTTGTTATGAGTATTTTATGTTACTGCGCATTAGAAAATAACAAAAAGACGTTAAGACAAGCGTTCACTGGGAAGTATTATTTTTCATATGCTAACTAGCTGATACTACATGTGCGCCATTTAGCATGTATCTATGTTACCATGCTAACTATAGCATTTTGGCATGTGTACATATAGATTCAAACATTTATTTTTCCATGTTAACATGCTGTTAGCAAGATTCAGTGTGTTAGTGTAACATGCTAATGATTAGGATGTCAGCACATTAGCTCTTTAGCATGTCATGTTAGCAGTTATCTCAAGAATATGTTCTGGTTTCACGTTCCTCTGTTTGGGTTGGGTTTATATGTAGCTTGTGTTGTCATGGGTTGTCTCTTCCTGTCCATGTGTTAAAGTGTCGTCGAGCAAGACACTGAATTGCTCCTCAGTGTGTGAAAAAATCTTAGCCAAAAGTTCTCTTCTTCATATGAATGCTGTTTTTATTTATGAGTCTTATATTAAAAGTTTAGACCTTTTAAAATCCACATTTAAACCCTTTGTGGAAGACAGTGGGACTTGTTTCTTCTCAACCATTTTCCAAACTTCAGGAGACAGAGCACTGAGTGAGGCAGAAAAGATTTTGATCTGTGTGGCTGCATGATCAGCCTATATCCGGTGTCAAGTCACACAAAGACGTGGACTGTCCACACTATCCTGCATGTCTTTGATGTGGCTGCTACAGAAGACCAACAAGCCTCTGGGAGACCTGCAAAGGACAGGTTGCAGTGCTTTCTCACCCCTTTTCCACCTGCCTAATCTTGGACCAGTTATTTGTGTTTTGACAGCAGAAGAACCAGCTCTGGCCAGGAAAACACTTTGCTGGTCTAGAACCAAGAACTGCTTACAACAGGGGCTGAGGGCACCCTGTTGCTAGCTAACTTTTGGTCAGCTAACATTACCGAAGCACGCATTATACTAATTTCTCATATCAATGTTACGTTTGTAACTTTATTGTTACATTCAACATGAGGAATTAGTACAATGCTTGCTTGGTTAATGTTAGTAGAGCAACAGCTAGCTAGGTAGCCAGCTAGCGTAACCTGGTAACAATAACTAACATTGTAGACATATACATTGGTGTAATGACGTGGCTCTAAGGTGGCTCTTTAGCCCCTGGAAAAGCAAACTGGATCTTAGAAGGTTCTCAAATTTAAAAAATATTAAAACCTTTTTTCTCCTGGGTCTCAGGAAGAGAAACGTAATTGTGGTTAGAGATATAATAAGGGTTGAGTGCTAGTTGACTCTGCTGTAGTACTGTTTTGCTTCAGTCCGGTCAGTGAATAGGTCACTCTGATTCTCACCATACTATCGGAGGTACAGGGCCGTTATTGTGAGGAGATCAGAACTCCTGGTTAACCACTGTTCTCGCAGTAATAAAGCACAGTGTTATATGTGTTTCCTCTCAGCTGACTGAATTAGAGTCTTATGATCCTCTCTCTAAATATACAACATTGACCCATGAGGCAAACATACCCCAGACTACAACTCATTAGATACATCAAGATTTAATTCAAGAATTTTACATGAAAACTGCATTCCTTTCCTTTCATAGATACCATCTCTGCTTACTCAGTTTACCAAAATAAGTGGATGCTACTGATGAACTTTCTCTTTGACTTATCAAATTGCTGTTTGTGCATTGGTTGTGGGATACAATATGACAGTGTTGTTCTGTCAACATATAGAGGCCAGGTTTCCATGGTGACCCCTTGCCCTGACTTCTAGCACCATCATCAGGACAAAGAATATAAAAATCAAATAGTTTGATTTGCATTAAATCCCCCCCTTCCACTCATTAATCAGTGTTTCTTCTTGTCCCTACAGTGTGCTGTGTGAATGATGTCTGTGCAGAATTTGACACTAGAAGGATGTTTTCATATTCATCTGCTGAAAGTGGAAAGTTTCTCTGTGCTCATTGAAAATCAGATTTTAAGGGGCGGGGCCCTACCAGCATGATTTGTGACATC